GACCCAAGTTAGGTCTCATGAAAAGGTTTGCTCTAAAGAAGCAACACAGAGACCTTCCTTCAGTGGTCAGTCACTGGTAGGTTGCACATGCTACTATAAATAACCCCTCACCCAGCCTCCTGTAAGCAACCATAATTAAACTCACTGGGACACACATGCATGCACACACATATAGAGACACACAGACACACACTCTGATGGACTCCGGCCCCTGGTCCATGTGTTGAAGATCTCCTTAGAAGTAGCATAGAGCCAGCAACACAGGACACCCCCAGATTCCTTCCAGCAAGTGAGTGAGGTGGTACCAGAGCCAGGGTGGGGGGCATGAGAGCTAATGAGAAGATTCCATGCCCTTCCCAGCATCCTCCCAGGAGCCCCAAGCCCATCCTGTGGTACAGCAGGTGTTTTCTAAGGCACTGGTGAGTCTTCTCCGATAAATGATGTGTAATTAGCTTCAGCTGTGACCTTAACTGCAACCCTAGAGTCACTTGGGAAGAGGAAGAATTTCCCAGATCAGATTGGCCTCTGGCCATATCTGTGAGTCATTTTATTGATTGCTAATTGATGCAAGAGGCCCCAGCCCACTGTGGGTGATGTCATCCCTAAGCAGGTGGGCCTGGGCTGTATAAGAAAGGCCAGGAGCGAGGCAGTAAGTGGCATTCCTCCATGGTCTCTGCTTCGGCTCCGGCCCCCAGGCTCCCGCCACCAGGCTCCCGCCTCCAGGCCCCTGCCTGGAGTTTCTGCCTGGGCTTCCCTTGATGGTGGACTAAGCCAAATAAACCATTTCCTCCCCAAGTTGGTTTTGGACAGTGTTTTATCACAGCAACAGAGATGCAAACCAGCACAGATGATCGTTCTCCCACCTGATGTCACCTCAGGAGGTATACAGCCCCATTCTCTGCCAGGCGTTTCCTGGTTCCGTGGCCCTTTGCCCACACTAAGGGGCACATGAGCAGGTGACTGGCATCTCCAGAAAAAGCTGCTTTCCATCATTTCCTTAGTGGGAACTTTGTTTACTCTGTTTACTTGGTGGGGTAATGGGGCCACAGGCCGCTGAGCACATGGTGGGCCGGTCACCGTTGCCTTTTGAATTATGCCTAGAGCTGTGTCCACTGGGCTTATCCTTGGGGTGGAAACCTCTCTCCGCAGGATGCCTTTGCCCCCATGACACCTGGCCCTTGCTTTCCCAGGTGGAGGGCATTCTCCACTCTGTGCGTCTCCTGGTCCAGCCTGTTGTGAGTTGCCAGTCCTCCAGTTTCTCCATCAAAGGATGGAATTCTGCACAGTGTCCATGATTTCCTGACAGTCTCTGTGCTCAGTATTGTCTGCATCCAAGGTTCTTGACAGCAGAAGTCCTAAAGACCACATGTGCATTTGAGTCCTAATGGGACTTACTCCTTCTGGAATGTTCCCTCAAGGAGACCATTTGCTCCCACGTTTGAGGAGAGGAATCCACACATCTCAGTCTGCTTTAGGGAATCTTTGGGAGGATGGCTTCAGTAGAGTCCGGAGGACAAAGGGACACAATCCATGACCCAATCCAGCAGACCCCAAAGGTCAACTGGAAGTCACCAGTTCACATTGGATCAGAAAGCGACTCCGGACCACCATGAGCCTTTAGGATGCCAGTGTTTGTGCCTGTCTCTGAGCACAGGCAGCAGGTATAAGTTCAGCTGGCTTTGGAGCTCCTTTGGGAAGACACTCTCATGCCCCATGCAGCATGTGCAGACGTTAGCACACTCAGGAAAAGTGTCTTTCTTGGGTTCATACAGTGTGTGGTGATGGGTTAGTGTGGTGGTGGCTGAACCAGGCTTGATTCTGAGTGGCTCACTGCTCCTCCCAGCTGCTGTGTATTATCTGGTGGGGAGAAGCCTGGTATATAATCTGGAACTGATGACCTCATGGTGGGAGGGGACTGCTACTTTCCTGACTTAAATTTGCTTGGTCTCAAGCATTCTTCGGGGTGATAGGGACAGGAACGATTTGATGGTAATTAATAATATGGAATAGGCACTTTAAAGAGGGGTCATGGGCGCGCACATCCCACCAGGACAAGCTTGGAGAGGTGTGAGAGGGGACGCTTGCCCTGGCCAGGGTTCCAGCTGGTGGAAGGGGGCACTACTGCAGGGCATGAGGACAGTAGCAGGGTTAAGGGAAGCCCACAAAGAGGTGGATGCTGCAGCCAGGAGCTGGGCCTGACCAGAGCAACCAGACTGCAGCAGTGACCTGCCTGTTCTTCTAGAACATTCCATAACTGCATTGAACAGGAGTCAGGGCAAGCAGGGGATGAATAGCTCATAAAGATGAATCTTGGTGTGTGTGGGGAGTAGGGGTGCTCAGGACAGAGCACAGGTGGAGCCAGAGGGGCAATTAGACAGTTCATATCTTCCAGCCACATCACCATCTGTGGGGACAAGGTAGGACTGGCTCCTGGACATACGGTGTATCAACTCTGGGATCATGGCTTCTGGGCCTGTGGACCCCAAATGTGAGGAAGACTCTAGGGAGCCGTGGCCTAGGAGGAATACTCCAGCCACGGGATGGCTCCCCCAGTTCCAGCTTGGGACTCCCTCCTCATCCTTTGAAAACTGTTCCCTGGCAGAAACGCCCTGTACACGCTCCCTCTGCATGGTATGCACTTGGGCATGCTAATTTACACATGTACAGGTACATGCGGGAATGTGTGTCAAGAGCAGCACCGCAGACGCACGTCTGACCAGGTGGAGAAGGCACAACACAGTTAAAGGTAAGCCACGGGTCAGGAACAACCTTTCAGCAAATGTGGCCAAGAGATGGTATCTGTTATATGGCAATGTCCTACTAAGTGATACAAAGTGTTCAAGGAGAGGGAGGACACCGTCCATGGATCCATGCAGACATGGAGAAGCCCTTAAAGAATAGCAAAATCTGTTGTCTGCCCAGTAAAGAAAGGATAGCCAGGGGCTGGGGTGATAGCACAATCAATCAGGAAAGTGCTGATAACGAGGACCTGGCTTTCCTGAGAATCCACGTGGAGGTGCCGAATGTGATAGGGCCTCCTGTAATCCCACCACTGGGCTGGAGGAGGCAGGTGGTTCCCAGAGATCTCTGATAAGCCAGCCTAACCTCCTTGGTGGGCTCTAGGCCAGTGGAAGACCCTGTCTAGAAGAACAAGGTGAATAGCACCTCAGGGACAACAACACAGGTTGACCTCTGTCCTTCATAGCCATGCGTATACATGTACACACACTCCCCACACAAGTGCACCCACATATGTAGATGTGCATCACCCCACTCACATGTGCACTCATGAGAATAGGCACAGAAACACACACACACACACACCCCCACACACACACCCACACACACACACACACACACACACACACACGATGGTCTGGTAGGCAGTGAAGCATTACTGGCCTTTCCTTATTAAATTGGCGATTTAAATATGAATTCTCATAACCAGCAATGTTTCGACTGGTGAAGCTGGGGAAACATACTTCCTTACTTCTTGGAAGACAATTTAGAAACACATTCCAAGAAAATTTTGTTTCTGTCCTAGTAATACCAGGAATTTACCTCAGGGTCAGCACCACGTAAGAACAAAGGTATACAAATGTCTGGAGAGACTTGGATTACAGCAGTGTTTATAAGAACAAACGTGCAAACAGACATTCTCCTGCAGGCATCTGGCCCGAGGATTTTTCTGGCTTATCTCCTCTACACGCTATTGGAATTAGGAAAGCACATCGCAACATGGGTTGATCTTATTTTTAATTATGTGTATCCATATGAGCCTAAGTGTAAGCTTGTGCATGTGAATGCAAGTGCCTGGGGAGGCCAGATGAGGATGCTGGGGATCCCTGGAGCTGGAGTCACAGGTGGTCGTGAGCTACCTGACATAGGTCTAAGACCCAAACTCAGGTCCTCTGCAAGAGCAGCGTGTACTCTTAACCACTGAGGCCCCTATTGCTGAGCTTTAGAGCTATGAAGAAAGAACATCAAGTGGCCCCTGTGATGTAGGGTTAGACAGTGGCAAATGGATGGAGGGACAGGAAGGTGGGGAGCGAGATGGCATGTGCTGAGTTGGGGCCCCAGGCATCTGCTCTTTTCCTGATAGTGTTGTGTGGAACTTGATACTGAGGGGGCGTGCACATGTCCCCAGCCTGTGTACCAGGCACACACGTGACCCCTGTTGAAGGAAAGAAGGAGTCACCTGTGTCTAATCCCAAGAACAGTTCAAAAATACAGCTGAAGGTGATGGACAAGGGGCCCTCTCACTTACACCTCGTAACAAGAAAGTCACAGAAATCGCCAGAACCATGAGATTGCACAAGGCTACCTCAACCCTACACAGAAACCACTTCTGCATGGATGGCTATCTGTCCAGCCACTGCCCATCCAGCTCAAACAGCTGCCACTCTGGTGACTTACGTGCTTATTCTGAAGTGCCACGGATGGAACCTAAAGTCCTGGGCATGCCAGGCAAGCACCGAGCCACACCTCAATCATTGGCTATTGTTTCTATCATCTTACACAGTGGTCTATACTGCCTTTAAGGCTTCCCCTCGCCTCCCATTCCCGAGCACACCTACAGGTGGTTACCCATCACAATGTCCACTCGACCATAAATTTACTGTCTTTGGAGACTCTCTCAGTGCCTAAGATGCATAAGAATTTGATATCAAGGGGCCCGAAGAGATGGCTCAGTGGTTAAGAGCACTGGTTGTTCTTGCAGAGGACCCAAGTTCGAATCCTGGCTCCCACATGGTGGCTAACAACCGCCAGTAACTCCAGTTCCAGGGACCCAACACCCTCTTCTGACCTCAGCAGGCACTGAATGACATGGGCGCACTTACACACACGCAGACAATACACTCCTACGTATAAGATAAAAATGAAAGAAAGAAAAAAGAACCTTTTATCTAGTGCATAGCACCGTCTTACCCTTTGCTCTCTGTCTCTGGGGCGCACCCCAGCACCTGTTAGCAATTGGCCTGTGGTTTCCCTGTGGTTACCTAGTAATGCGCCTGTGGGCAGCTGGGCAGAGGGCTCCTTCATCCAGTCATCGTTGGCCAACTCTATCACGGCATCCACGGGCTCCACCTCAGTGCAGATCAGCTCCTGCACAGCCTCCTGGTCCCCAGTGCCCAGGGCAGATTTTAATCTCCTCACAAAGCTGGAGTTGAGGGGATAATCTGGTGGTGAGTCCCAGCTGGACATTGTGGTGTCCCTGTGCAGGGGCCAGCCGTCTTCTCTTCCTGGAATCCATGTCCAAAATTAGCTCCGTCCCCAGAGCAGCACAGGTACTATAAATGGAAGTGGGCTGGGTTACTGTCACATCTGCTGTCACCTCTCCTCCAGGCTGGGGTGACCTCTTCCCCAGGCTGCTGTGCAGAGCTGCTGGAGAGACTGGTGGTGGGCAGTGCTTGGTGTGTTGGGAAAGCTGGGGCAACTCTTTAAAAGGAAGGTCTAGAGGTTTGTTTGTTTTGCTTCGTTTCGTTTGAGAAGGGTGTACCTATTATTTTCTCATTGCTGTGATCCAAATCCTGATAGAAGCAACCTAAGGAGAAAGAGTTTATTTTGGCTTATAGCTTGAGGGGACACAGTCCCTATGCCCAGGAAGGCACAGGGGTGTGAGGCAGCTGGTCACATAGCATCAGAAGCAGACAGGAAGTGGAGCAGCACTATCAAAGCTCAAGACCCACCCCCAGTGACTTACTTCCTCCAATGAGGCTTCACCTCCTGAAGGCTCTACACCCTCTAAAACAGCGCCACTAGATGGGGACCAGGTGTTCAAGCATGAGGGCCTACGGGGACGTTTTACATTTAAGCCAAAACATGGGTTGGGTCTCACTAAGTACCTAAGCCGAACTTGAGCTCACAATCCTCCTGTCTCATCCTCCCCAGTGCTGGGAAGACAGGTATGTGCTACCAGGTACCAATCGGAGGTGATGTTGGCCAATACCTTTTGTTAAAATGAGGCCGTGAAGTTGGAGAGATGGCTCCGTGGTTCAGAGCACTTGTGGCTCTTGCAAAGGACCTGGTGTTCCCAGCACCTCCAGGGCACAACCATCTGTAACTTCATTTCCATTGGATTGTTAGCCACCGTGTGGGTGCTGGGAATTGAACCCAGGTCCTCTGCAAGAACAGCCAGTGCTCTTAACCACTGAGTCATCTCTCCAGCCCCTACATTTTAATTTTTACTTTTTGAGACAGGGTTTCATGTAGCCCAGGCTGGCCTTAAACTTCCTGTACAGTCAAGAATAACCTTGAACTTCTGATCCTCTTGCCTCCTCCTCCCAGGTGCTGTGATGTACCACCACATCCAGTTTTACAGTTTTATATGGTGCTGGGGATGGAGCCCAGGGCCTTCCACACACTAGGCCGGTGCACTGCCCACTAGGCTCCATCCCCAGCCCCGTGTTAGGGTTTTGAGCTTGCATATCCACGTGCAGATCCTTTGCAGGAGCGACTGCGGGGAACCAGCAAGTTCTGGGGAAAGGAAATGCAAAGAAATGCAATGCATTGTTAGAAACTGTTCTTCAACTCCAAATCAGAAGGGAGGTAAGGACGGAGCACTTGTTAAGCAGATAATAAGATGACAAAACCGTCTCGAAATACGGCACTCGCAGATCTTAATTACCCAGCGATCTGCTGGGTGTTAATCAGACGCACATACGCTATGCTAATGATTCTGGCTAATTTTGTTATAATGTAATTCTTTATCAACCCTGCGATGTATAAATTAGGAATTGAAATGTAACTAACACAAATTATATTTAAGGCAACATGCATTTCTTTATTTCGGTTGAAATCTTATCTAGAGTTCTCCTTCCTTTCTTTGATGAACTTCCTCATTCCCCAGCCCCACTGGCTCTCAGCCCAAGCCCTCATCCCTGGAGAAGGGAACCCAGGTACTTCCCCTTCACCTCTCAGAAACCATATATTTGATTTTTTTCCCCTTCAACAGTTGTCCTTGAAAGACTCAAACAGGAGTGGTAGGTGGATCCTGGATTACTCTGGATTGGATGAAGGCTGCTTCCTTTTCTATTTTAATTTTTAAACAACCACTGCTAAGGTCCAAAGTCCTGTATTTTGAGTGACAGATTATACCAGCTTAGGTGGATTTTTTTGTATGTGTGTGTGGTATTATGTGATTGTATACACATTTGTGTCTGTGCATGTGTGTGTGCTGGTGTGCATGTGGAGGCTAGAGGCTGACAAACTTTTTGTCAATGACTCTCTTATTATTATTATTATCATTATTTTTATTTTATGTGTCTGAGTATGTTGCCTGCATGTATGTAAGTGCATCCATGGTCCTGCAATGTTCAAAGAGATCAGAAGAGAGAGTCAGATCCCCTGGAACTGGAGTTATGTATAGTTGTTAGCCACCCTGTGGGTGCTGGGAACTGAACCCGTGTCCTCTACAGGGGTAACCAGTGCTCTTAACTGCTGAGCCACCTCTCCAGCCCCTCATCTTATTTTTTGAAATAGGATCTCTCACTCATCCTGGAGCCCACTGACTCCTCCAACCTGACTGACCAGCCAGTCCCGGCAGCGTCTGCTGGGCTCCACTGCTACCCCCAGTGCTGAGACTGCAGGTGCACACTAACATTCCCAGGCTTTAAGAGGGCGCTGGGGAATTGAACTCAGGTCCTCAGGCATGTGTGCCAGGCCCTGCAGTGTCTGACCCATCTCCTCAGATCTTGTCTGCCTGAATTTATGCCAAAATTTAGCCCTCACCAGGAGACATTAAGACGACTGTGGCATAATGCAACTGTGGTGTTTAGAGGTGAGGCTCTGTGTTTGCTTGGAACAGATTCTCCTTGTGTAGCTCAGGCCGACTTGAAACTGGTCTTCTCAGTTTCCTGGGTACTGGGTTTCAGGCATGAGGCACCATGCCCAGTTCAAAGTGAGACTTCTGGAAAGTGATTAAGGTGAAAGCCGTCAGGGTGTAGGCCCCACGATTGAGTCTTGGTGGGTTTGTAAGAGGGAGAGAGACTGGATAGACACATGAGACCAGATGGATACGTAGATATATGTGCTCCCTGTCTCTTGCTACATGAGGGTCAGGTACCTTGGGACTCTGCTAGCAAGATGATCATCTGTCACTAGATTAGACCCTTGACCTTGTATCTCCAGAACCTCAAGTCATAAGAAAAATTCCTTCTTTATAAAGTAGCCTGCTCCAGGCATTTCATTATAGTAGCAAGGACTAATGTAGCAGCTGTCCTAATTCAGAGGTGGAGTGGCCAGGAACTTCTCAACCTGGCTGAAAAATCTCCGTGAATTATTCCTTCCATGTGTCTCTCACAGCTTTTCAATGGTAACAGCCCCAACAAAGACATTAGTGTCAACATATTCACAGTTCTGTGGCAGGACTGCCTCACCCATCAGCCTAGTAGGTGGTAGGGTGGTCTTCACAGGAGTCTTTGTATAAGGAACTGGGACATTTCGGTTCCTCTGTGTTTCAGTGGGGTGTTGGCACCAGCTAGGCATGATGAAAGTCACTGACAACTCTGTAGAAAGTTTTTCTTTAATTACTTTTTCTTTATTATTTATTTATTTTGGGTGTCCATGCTGTTCGTGTGGGGATCAGAGGACAGGTTGTGGGTCCTGGGGATAGAACTCTGGTCGTCAGTCTTGGCAGTAGATGCCTTTGCCTCCTGAGCCATCTTGCTGGCCCATGGATGACTCTTGCTGGAGTTTATATATCAATATCTATATCTATATCTGTATCTATATCTATATCTGTATCTATATCTATGTATGTATTTAAAATATTTACTTATTTTTGTTTTATGTGCATGAGTGCTTTGCCTGCATGTATGTAAGTGCACCCATGTGTGCTGTGCCCATAGACAACAGAAGAGGGCATTGGATCCCCTGGAAATGGAGTTATGTCTCATTGTGAGCCTCCATGTGGGTGCTGGGAAGGGAACCCAGGTCCTCTGCAAGAGCAGCCAGTGCTTTTAACCGCTGAGCCACCTCTCCAGTCCCAAGTTTTTTATTTTAATGAGCTTGATCAGTGAAGGCCCAAGTAGAGACAGATGCCCCTGCATGTTCTCAGGAACAGACACTTGGGTTTCATTCACTAACTCCCCTCCCCCTTTTATTTTGAGACAGAATCTCACTCTGTAGCCTGGGGTGTTCTTGAATTTCTGATGATCCTCCTGCCTCAGCCTCCTGAGTGCTGGGATTTCAGGTGTGCACCACTATACCCCACTAGCAAACTCTTTGAATCCTCACTTAGGCTGGGCACTCTTGCTATGTGGATAATGTAGCATGCTTTACACCACAGCCCCACAGGCCGATCACAGCCCCACAGGCTCACCACAGCTGGTGCTTTTCTGAAGGCCAGTGGATGTCAGTGCCTTCTTCCCCTCAGCGCTCAGCAGCTGGGTGCCGCTGCCGTGTGCCCTTGGTTCGTGAGGACCTGGCAGGGAATCATTTGCTGAGGTCACTCTGCTGTTAATGGCAGAGGTAACACCACTGGCCTGAGTCCGTTAGCACAGTGTGTGCCTGTTTCTCAGCGGTCTAGTGTCCACACTGGGCCCAGGTTGACCCCTTCAGAGTCGGCTTCATCATCGTCAGTGCTGGCTGCTCTCTTGGTCTTTTTCTGAGACATAGAGAAGCGTGATGGGGAAGAAGGGGGTCGGAAGGGAAGGAGGGGGTCAGAAGGGAAGGGAAGGACAGGGCAGCCTGAGCTCAGTGGAAGACTGGGCGGGAGCAGCTGTCATGTGTGGTAACTGGGTAGAGATGAAAGACAGTTCCCCCCAGAAGGAGCTTTCAGGGCTCTATGGTGCTTTGCAAACTAAGATGCTGCTTAGAGACCTGAGGGACCTCCAGGGCCATCACCAGTGACGTCACCATCAGCGGCTAGGGTGATATGGAACCACTGTCAAACAGTGATGGAGGTGAGGATTTTGCCTTCTTAAATAAATGTTGCTTTTAGTCAAGGATGACCTTGAACTGCCGGTCCTTTGGTCTCTACCTGTGAGAGGATTAGCAGCGTACACCCTGCTTATGTGGTGGTGCAGGTTGAACCCAGGTTTCCTGCGTGCTAGGCAAGTACTCTAGGGCTGAGTAACCTTCCCAGCCCCAGGGATTTGCCTTCTGAGGGTTAAAGGTTAAAAGCACTCTATTAGCTCAAGGTCTGTTACAGAATGAACAAATACAATGCGAAAAATTTTTATCTTCCGGCATCTCAAATAATT